AGAAAAATTCTAGTAGTGTATATAATGATATTTATTTAATTCAAATAAAATTTTCTCTAATATAAGATATTAATAATCTATATAAAAAAAATATAAAAAAAGAGTATACCGTTGTCATTTTCGTTAGCTTAACCTAACTTTGACTTTACTGCAAAAATTATGCTAAAAACTGTTTTTTATCATTTGATAAATAATTTGAATCTTCCTATATTACTTTCTTATTGACCTTCTTATTTACTAAATATAAATTTGAATGATTTAAGATATAATATATTATGTTTATTTAATATTTTTCATAGAAAATAAAAATATATTAAGAGAAATATGGCGTAAAATAATTAAAAAAAAATAACTAGAATGTACACATGATATTAATGTATATATATATATATATATATTTATTTATTTATTTATTTTCATATATTTATAAATTGTCTTATATAGTTAGTCCGGTGACTTTTATATTAATTATTTAAAAAATTATATATAAATTGATTTATAATGAGTAGTATAATCCCACAGTATGATCTAAAAAAAACCCACAGAATAAATATTAAAATCATTAATAAAACTTTAGTTATTATTATATTAGTAATAAATAGAGTAAATAATCAATTAGTCTTTGAATATGTAATAATTCATCATATTAATTTCTAAAATTAATAAAATAAAATATAATCCTTAAATGCGTGTGATAATAATAAATTTAGTATTTGAAATTGTAATGAAAATTAATTCAGTCATTTAAACACTCACTAGGTCATTATTATGGTATTATACTAACATCACCTCAATCTTTATATCATCACTGTCCAACACCATCACTGCCTATCATCATTATAGTTGATCATCACTGCTACCTTAAGTCATAACCTACGTGTATCGTCACTATCTTCACCATCATTATATTCTTATCATTATTATTGTTGTTGTTATTGACAGTGTTTTAAAAATTAGATCAAACTGGCCGGTCAGATTGGGAACCGGTGGTCCAGCCGGTCTGAATCTTAAGTTAGATCGGTTATGCAGTCGACCCATTTCAAACCGGATTGAACTGGTCAATTTTTCGGTTCAACCACACTTTTTTTAAAATTTTTATTTTATTTTTTTAAGAGACCATAAACCACAAAAATAATAATGAAAATTGAATCTCTTAATGGAAAAGCAAAGAGTCTTATTAAATATAACAATGACTACTTGTTCTAATGTATTTGTTTGTAATATATACAACTTAAATAACTTTTATAGTATATTATTAATTTTAAATTATATATTTAATAATATAATATCTATGTAGATATTAATATATTATTTTGTGATATCAATTGCAAGCATATTATATATGTTCATATTATTTATATTTTTAATTTGTATTAATATACAGTTTAACATGTAGTTTTTTTTTACAAAATAAAAATAAAAAAATTTAAATAAAATAGAAAAATTTAAATTTAAAATAAGATATGAATTTATTAAAATTTATAAGTATAAAATATATTTAACATAAATATTTTTTTAAAAAATATAATAAAAATCGAGTCATGCGATTCAACTAGTGACTCACCGGTTCAACCTTTAACCCACTGATCTAGTACCTTAACCGGGTCCGGTTTGATGATCAATCCGATTTTAAAACTATGGTTATCGGTACCAATGCTATTATCATCATAATTCTTATTACCATCATTCTTATTAAAATAATAATAATTTATTATAATAATTAGTATTAAAAAATACATTGTAATAAATATAATGTTATTTAATTTGTTTATGTTATCTATTATCCACGAAATAGTGTATAAAACTCAAAGTTGTCCAATACCTTGAGCATTTTAATTATCCCCCGAACACGCACACACGATATATTACATCATTTTGTCGTTGAATTTATTTTAGAAAAATTTAATTAGATCCTCAAATTAAAAAAATATAATTAGGTCCTTCATTTTTTTTTATATTTTTATTTTAGTCCTCAAGGTTAAAAATTCGTTTACAATTCATGAAATTTCACATAATATCTTTTATATATATTCTATTACCTAGACAGTAAATTATTATTTCATATCATCATCCACGTGTATTAAGTCATAATCCCTACTCATAAAAATTCATTTATAATCTCCTTAATCATAAGAAGTCAGGAATAGTAGAGAAATTTAATGAGTAGGAATTAAAATATGATATACATGAATAATATTGATATGGAATAATAATTTAATATAATTGTCTAAGTATGAAAATATAAAAAAAAATTATGAAAAATTCAAGGATTATAAAACGAATTTCTAATTCAAATGACTAAATTACAAAATTATAAAAAGATGAAAGACTTAATTAAAGTTCTTTTAATTAAAGAACTTAATTAAAAATTTTCAAATAATTTAGGAACGAGTTGTGTACTGAACCTATATATAAAGTGGAGATTAAGTTACTCCAAGAATAACTCTTAAAAATATTATTTCACTCAATAACTCATGATATACATTGAATTTCAATAATTCAAACATTAAATTAAAAAATTATTAAATAGATAAATTACAAATTTTTGCAAGTTTGAAAAATATTTTATTATTATTACAAATTAATGTATAATTTTTTTTTGCAATAAAAGTTATTATAAAATAGTTTGAAAGCTATTTATGAAGTTTGAAAATTATTTGATACTTTATTACATAAATTCAAATTAATATATAATATATTTTTAAGAATAAAAATTAATTTAAATTTATGTAATGAAGAGTCAAATAATTTTTAAAATTTATAAAGTTAATATATTTGTATCGGATATGATTGAATACATTTCCAAAGTCAAATACCCTTCTTAGGATCAAATATCCTTTAAGGATTGAACACATACCCTTTATCAATAGGTACTTTTTGATTAACAATAAATGAAACATAAAATAATATCTTATATAAATTATTTTTGTCATTAATAATAAATAAATGTTTCTTTTATGACTCTTAATGATATATAAGGTATTATTCTCATATAAAAGGAGAAGACCTAAGGTACATTGCATCTTTACATTAATTTTCTACAACATTGATATCCTTTTTACTATTGTTTGAAATTAAGCATCACTCTAGGTACCTCATCCCACTTGAAGAATATCAGATCTTGTAAAAAAAGAATGAAAGTTCTCGACTTTTGACAAAGTTTAGAAAATCATAGCTTGAAAAAAAAAAGAATAAAGACTCTCGACTTTTGACAAAAATTTAAAAAATACTCAATTTTCAGTAAGTATACTGTTCAATAATTTTGAGAGTATCATTGTAGGTACCCATCCTACATGGAGGTTGTCAGAGCTTGTAAAAAAGAATGAAGGTTCTGACTTTTGACAAAAATTTAGAAAATACTCAAATTTTGGTAAGTACATTGTTCAATAATTTTTTAATTTAATAATTTGACTGCTGAAATTCAATGTATAACTTTTTTAGGGTTTAAGATTAGGGTTTAGAGAGAAAGATAAGAAGAAGAAAAAAGACCTTACAAATAATAAAGGATGGAAAGTTTTAAATAATATGCATAAAAAAGATTTATAAATATGTATAATTAAATAAGAACTTAATAAAAAAAGGTCATCATATTAACTTTTAACGATTTTTCATACGACTAGAAGCATATATACTCTTAAGCAATTAAAAGTGTAATTAACAAATGGAATAATTATATATATATATATATATATAATATTTTATATAAAAATTAAACAATTCAAATGATGTACGGACTTTGATGATTAATACATAAGAAAAAATAATTCATAATTTGTGAAATTTTAAAAATTAAAGAATAAAAAAATACGATTAAGTATGTTTTTAATTTATGATCAATTTGATTGATCATTATAATTAAATGTTAAAAAAATTATCTTTCATTGATAAAAATAAATAATTAATGTAATGTGATAATTGATCGTAGTAATTTATGTAATTATCATTTTTATATCATTAAAGTAATTATTTGAATTATGTATAATAAATTTCCATTTCCACTAGGATGCATGTGAGACAACTTTTCAATTAATTTAGGTAATTATTAGACTTTTTAAATAGGAAAACAAGATTATTTTAAATTTAAATAAATATATTATTTTAAAGTATATAATTAAAGTAATTATTTTCGCTACATTTGACTTCTTGGTACATATTAAAGTAATTGACATAATATCTATAACTTATAATAAAGTATAAAAAAGAATACATTATTTTGGTGTTTATTTTTTTAAAAAATAATTATATATATATGCAATTATTTTCTTGTATTTTACTCTTTTTACTCTTTTTTTTAAAAAATCTATTTCATTCTTAAAAGAGTGAAAAGAGTGAAATAGAAGAAAAGAAATATATATATATATATATATATATATATAAATAATGTGCACTCCATTAATAATAACTATTCATTTTAAAATATCCTTTTTTTTACAAGTAGCCTATTATTATTATATATAATTTAGATTTTATTAAATGAAAGTTTTATATATCGTTATAATTTTTCTTAATTTAATTAAATTAATTAATATAATTATTAAATCTATAATTAAAGTAATTAATTGTAATTATACACAATTATAATTATTTTATTAAATGTATTATTAAATTATCATAGCATATACATTTAATAAAAATAAATTATTAAATGAGAGTAGCATAAAAAAAATTAATAAATGAGACTAAATTACTGTATTAGACACTTATTTATTTAATTTAATATCTCCATAATTAAAAAGTTTAATTTAACTTTTTAATTTTCTAAAATAATGTAACATGCATATATTGGCTGAATTGAGAATAATTGCATTGAATTTTTGTAAACATGTCCCAATAAGAAAATTACAGAATTTAAGAAAATGACACAATTTATGCAATGTGGAGGTTTTTTTTTTTTTTTAAATTAATTTATTTACTTTTCCTCAATTGGTTTATTGTTTTTGGTGTTGATGAGTCAATGAGGGTTGGATAGGCGGCTAGGGGTTTAACTGCAAAAGGCTTAAACCTCGCACTTGCCTCCCCTACGTTCCTTCCTCTCTTTTCTTCACTTTTTTTTTCTTTTATAAATAATGGTGATCAATGCCCCAGAAGATTCAACCTTTTATCATCCATCTAGTTTCTCTCCCAACATTCTCATCTGGGTCTTCCCAATTTCATGATTTCATCTTTCTCCCTCTCAGAATTTGGCCTCACTCCGTAGTCTCTCTTTTCCCTTTTTTCGCCGTTCAGCATTGATCATTTGATTAAATATTGCATTCGATTGAATATCAGTGTTTTCAGTTGATAAGGTTATTGATTCAGTTCATCATTTGGAACACAGCAGTGGCTCTTTAAGTCCATTCGCGAAGAATCAAATCAAAAAAGAATCTAAATTTGATCAAAATATCGCCATGAGTTTCTCTGACCATATTCCATCCTTTATGATGTCACCGCCGTCATTTTCAACAGACACAGATGCAATTGAAGTGAGGCTTCAATTCCCAATGAACCACGAAGCAATGGAGCCACATTCACCACAGGATCAACCCCCTTCCTTCAAGAGGGCAAGGACCTGTGATAACAGCCACTCCAATGCAATGCCATACCCTCCAAGAATGGTTCAGCACCCCACAGTTAACAAAGGAACCAGCCACATTTTCTTCAAGACCCGCATTTGTGCAAAGTTCAGACTTGGTGCGTGTAGAAACGGCGAGAATTGCAACTTTGCACATGGGGTTGAGGACATGAGGCAGCCGCCGCCAAATTGGCAAGACCTCGTTGGATTGCGCAACGAAGAACGGCAACAACCACCGCCGAATTGGGATGATGATGAAAAAATCATACATAAGATGAAGCTGTGCAAGAAGTATTACAATGGGGAGGAATGCCCCTATGGTGATAAGTGTAGTTTTCTTCATGAAGACCCTGCCAAGTTCAGGGATGATTCAGGGAGGTTCAGGGAGAGCATAGCTATAAGCATTGGAACTAATGGATCCCCCAAGTCCTATGGTGATGCCTCTAGTGTTTTAGAAAGCAATAGGGCTGTCAACATTGGCTTGAACTCCAATGTTTCCCGGGGGAATGTTAAGTCTACTTATTGGAAGACTAAACTGTGTATCAAGTTTGAGACAACTGGCCACTGCCCCTTTGGTGATGACTGTCACTTTGCTCATGGCCAAGCAGGTACTACAAACTCTCCCCTTTTGATTATTGGTTTTGGTTATACCATGTTTTTATTTGTTCTGTTTAATCGTATGAATTAGTTTTGTGATTTATCTTGGTTAGCTACGATGTTATTTTCTATAGTGTTGCTGTACTTGTTAGCGGTTTAATCTGCAAAGAGATTGTTGCCTTGTCATTTTCTGTAATGTTGTATCTCTTGTTAGTGATATGATATGCGAAGAGATTGTTGCCCGAACAGGATACTTATTACATACTCCAAAGCGTGCTATTTTTGTTGTTGTATTTGAGCATTTGGTATTATTTTGTGCAACAGATGCTACTTCAGTTTGAAAGTATTTGATCACTTAACAAGTGATGAATGTGTTTTTGTCTAATGCATATCCACATATGTCATATATGCACGAAATTCTGCATTGTGTATAAAACCCCTTGCTAGGAGTTTTTCTCTTATAAAAATGTCTTAGATTTCCAAGAATTAAGTGGTTGATCATCTCCATTTTGTCATTGACTATGATTACAATACTATTACTATTGTGATGTTAAAACTACTCTCACTTTGCAAAGTACAAGTTTGTTGCTTGAGTGAAGTTTATAGTAGTTTGATGTAATTTGTGAAAATTTTTATTGAGTGTGACCAGCAATTGCCACACTTAACTTATTAGACAATATAGCATGTCGTCGTGGTCTACTTGATTGCTTGTCTTTCAAATATATCATATGATTGAGACATTTCCTCTGCATGATTCTGAATGATCAATTTGTGATCTTCCCCTAGATTTCTACTGATGGCTTAGAAATTTGATTTTCTCTCAAAATATTTTGATGTAGTTTCTTGTGAACAATTTTAATTGCAAACAGATCTGCTTATTGTGAACAAAAAGTATACCAGAGAAGTGGCATAATTTAAACAATTAAAATTGTATGGCTCCCATTTTCTTCTCAGACTCCTAAGTACTTTTGTCTTGCAAAGCAGAGTTACATGTTCCCGGCGGTGGACGAAGTGATGCAGAAACTGCAGGTGCCAGTACAATTTCAACCAAACCTATCATTCCGACCATACCAAGAGCTACATCAGTTTCTTCTAATGATGCACCTTCTAGCCACCGAGCAAGTGTTCCTCCAGAAAATGAAGAGGAGCAGGGTAAGAAGCATTTACTCAAGTGGAAAGGACCCAAGAAGATCAATCGAATTTATGGTGATTGGCTTGACGATTTACCCCTTGTTGCCAGCTAGAGTGGGGACCTGAGTTCAAGTCTGTTCTCTTGAAAAAGAAACTGGAGATTGGATTCTCCCCTGCAGACAGAATTTTGAAAAAAGTGGTCACTGGTTGGTGTGATCAGTTCATAGATTTATTTGTTCTTATTCTTTGTCTTAATTGTTATAGTTTTCTTCTTCTTTTTTTAATTATTTATTAGAGATGTGCAATTTTCCGTGTACATCGGAATTTTGATGGATTTAAGATTTAAGCCACATTGGTGACAAAAAACCAAATTCTGAATGGTGTGGGATCTTGATTTGGGTTCAACAATTGTTAAAATTTCTGGACCCGAATCCAGGTCTTAAATAGGTTAAACTATATTATTCTATTTCTACTCATACGTGGAATATGATTATCTGATATTTGTTATATTTTGTTCTTCTGCAGTTCCGTCACACCATACGTTCTCCTTTTGTTTTTTCATGTTGGATAAAACTTATTGCATGTAATTAACATCAAACATAGACAATTAATAGAGAATTATTATAAAATCGTTATTTTATAGAGAATTGTAATAAAATTATATCTAAATATAATAAATTTAAATTAATTATAATATAAACCATTATTTTTTAATTAATACTTATTATTATACTTTATCTTTATGGTGTAATTTTCACACTTTAAATTCAAAAGATAAGGCTCAAGTGTTTTCGTAAGATTCACATGAAATTAACTTCTATTTTTTGATATATAAGAAATTTAGTAGATAGTGAATGTGTTAAAATATTTTATCAGTATTATTTTTTGAAAGTAAACATTTTCTTACACTTCATGTATGTGACAATTGAATTGGAACGCAAGTGTGTAGAAAACAAGAACTTATTGGTGCAAATGTAATTTGCAAGGTACCATATGTTTATTTTAAGGGCCACAGGTTATCTTCAAACATTCGAAGTTATGTAAGGCAGTAATTACCACTTTAGAAATTTAAACTCACATTGTCGTCCAAACCGACAAAATATTATTGGAAACTCGTGTAATTTCTGTCACCAAACATTGAAACGGAAGCTTGCGAATCTGATTCATGCTCCTCAAATATTGCCTGATTTCTCTGTGAACTGGTGCCCTTGGCCTGAACTGGTGTGGATTATTCACGTCTCTAATTGTTGGAGTTGATTTTCTAATGAATTTCCATGAAGTTGGCTAGATTTGTTCCATCATTGGTGGCTTGAAAACTATTGTTTCAGCAACCATGGACTTAACTGAATCTTTCATCTCCTTTTCCTCTTTTGCAGAGGAATCATTGCTCAGTCCATAAAGGAGCTCTGATATCATATAGAAATTTAAGGTGTGATACAAGTTACCCTCAAATTGATGAGGCCAAAGATCATATAGCTCAAACAAAGTAGAGAAGGGTAGAACCATAAAACTAACTCATTATGTAATTGGTTGATAAAAAAAATACTATCTTATTGTATAGACTATAGAGCTTTATATTGAGACTAACAATCATCTTTATAACAGAAAATCTAAAATATAAACTGGAAGCATTTTGTATAAAACTTGCTAAAATTAATTTGAATTTTTTATATAGAAAGAGGTGATACAACTTCTTTTATATAAGAGAGTGAAAAATGAAAAATGTTTAATGTGCCCAATGTGGGACTAAGCTACTAAGCTATGTGAAAATGAGCTTGGGTTGAACCAATGTGAGACTAAGTTTTCTCTGATACCCCCCGCAAGTTGGAGGGTGGAAAATATCTAACACTCCAAGCTTGGATAGGAGATAGAGGAAAGTCTTGGGAAGTCTAATAGCAGGATCCAATGGTGTAGTTGTTGGTTTGCAGTCCAAGAGAGAAGAGTCCTGCAATAAGTCCAAGCAATACCTCCTTTGTGAAAGGGTAATACCAGTTGAAGAGTGTGCAACCTCTAAGCCAAGAAAATACTTGAGAATTCCCAAGTCCTTAATTCCAAAGGTTGTATGTAATTGAGTTTTGATAGCAGGGAATGTATCAAGAGAGTTACAAAAAGAATTACATCATCCATATAGATTAACAACCCAGTGAAACAAGAGACACCAAATTTAAGAAACAAGGTATGATCAGCAGCTGCTTGCTGGAAACCAAGTTTAAGAAGAAAAGCATTATTTATATCTAGCTGGTGAAGATGCCACTATGTGAGGCTGCCAAAGCTAAAATGACCTTGATTGTTGTGAGTTTTGCCACTGGTGAAAAAGTATCCAAATAATCAAGCCCTTCCACTTGATGGTAACCTTTAGCAACCAACCTTGCTTTATATCTCTCAATGCTGCCATCAGATTTCCTTTTTATTTTGTATACCCATTTGTTTCCTATAGGAATAAATCCAGGTGGGAGAGGCACCAAGGACCAAGTGCCATTTAGCTAAAGAGCAGTGATCTCTATAGCCATGACTTGTTTCCAACAATCATGCTTACTGACTTCGTGGTAAGAGGTAGGCTCATGATGATGGTCAAGAGAAGAGCTGTAAATGGCATGTGAAGGGGATAAACTAGCAAGAGAAACAAAAGAGTGAATAAGATAGAAACTACTTGACTGATGCTGCTGAGGAATGATGGATGAATTACATTGATAGTCTTGCAAGTAGGATGGTTTGGTTTTGTGTCTGGTGGATTTTCTGACAGGTGGTGCAAAAGGTGAATTAACTGTTAGAGAGGAAAAAGGTGTGAGTGAGGTGTCTGATTGTGAATGGTCAGAAGGAGGATTGTTTTCTAATGGAGAAAGTAGAGTTATGGGGTTAGCAAAATCTATAGGAGAAGGATTAGTGTGAGGTACTGGAATGCAGATAGGCAGAGGATGTTTATTTCTTGATGTTGTGGCACTTAAAGAACAAGGAAAAACAAATTCTTCAAATACAACGTTCCTAGAAATAAACAATTGCTTTGTATGCATATCATAAACCAGAAAACCTTTTGGTATGAGATTTATAACCAACCAAAATGCATTTATGACTTCTATGATCAAATTTGGATCTATGAGCAACAAGAGTTGAAATGTAACACAAACACCCAAAAACCTTAAGGTATGACAAGTCAGGTTGTTCATCATATAAAAGTTGATGAGGAGAGTGTCCTCCCAATAGATCTATAGGAATTCGATTGATTAAATGAACATGACCAATAGCTAGGCTCCAAAAAGTTTTAGGTAAGTTTGCTTGAAAAAGAAGGCTCCTAGCAACATTTAAAATGTGTTGGTGCCTTCTTTCAACCCTTCAATTCTGTTGGGGGGTCTCTACACAAGTAGTTTGATGTATGATTCCTTTGTCCCTATAAAAGGAAGCAAGAAAGAATTTAGAACCATTATTTGTCCGAATTGTTTTGATAGTAGTATTGAACTGAGTTTCTACCATTTGAGTAAAACTTCTAAGATGAACTTCTGTTTCAGATTTGTGTTTTAAAAAAATCACCCACAGATACCTACTATAATCATCTAGAATGGTTAGGAAATATTTATGATTCTGTATGGATTTGGTTTTAAAGGTCCCCCAAACATCTAGATGTAATAAATCAAAAGGTTTGGATGCATTATGTAAACTATCTGAATAAGGGAGTCTTCTTTGTCTAGCAAAGTGACAAATGTCACATATATGTCTTTTATTAGAATTCTGTAAGTATGGATACAAAGAAATCATTTGATTCATTTTTGAAAAAGAAATATGTCCTAGCCTAAAGTGCCACAAAACTGTATTAGGAAAAGAACTGGATGTAGCTTCTGCTAGGTTAGCTTGTGTTTGATGCTTGGAAACTTGCATGAAATATAATCCATTCAATGCCTCAGCAGAACCAATCATCTTCATAGTTGTCAAATCCTGAATATAGCAAACATGTGGAAGAAAGATAACTGCACAATTCAGTCTTGTGGTGAGTTTAGAGATTGAAATGAGGTTAACAGAAAAATTTGGCAAGTAAAGCACATGTGACAAAATCAATTTATGGTTGAAATGAATTTGGCCAATGTGTGAAGGCACAACTATGTTCCCATTAGGGAGTTTAACAGTAATAGAATAATCAGTGAGAGGTTCTAAGGAAGTGAAGAGTGATTTATCTGAGCATATATGATCTGATGCTCCAGAATCCAATATCTAAACATTATGTTTACTGGTATGAAGAGAAAAGACAAAGGACTTACCTGAATTGGAGGTGGTTTGTGATTTTCCAGGCATAGAATGGGTGGAACTTACGGCTGCTATTTGAGTGTTTAAGGTATTACCAAAGATGTTTGATTGTTGAAGCAAATGCATGATGTTTTGATACTGCTCTTTAGTCAAGGACACATGATCTGATGCATCATCACCCCTCTATTGAGTTGTCCAAACCTTCACCAATAACATGATTTGAACTATAATTCTTCCTTTTAGAGCCTCTTGGATAACTGTGCTTCTTATAACAGACTCCCACTGTATGTCTTGTCTTCCCACAATAGCTGCAAATTTTGAAGTTTCCTCTACCAGTAGAACCATTATAACCTCCTCTACCTCTACCAAAAGGCCTTTTGTTTTCTGTTGCATTAAATGAAAACTTGTGTTTCCTCTATATTGCCACTAGAACCAGAGTTGAGCCTTCTCTCATGTTAAATAACAAGTGAATAAGTCTTGTCTATATCTAGAAATGGCTCCATCATGAGGATTTGAGTTTTTACAACCTCAAACTCATCATTCAAGCCACTAAGAAATTTCATTATGTAGTCTTCATTTTTGCATATTTTACCATTTTTACGTGTCTCACAGAGGCATGCAACAACACATGTGCAGTCAGGAAGAGGCCTGTAATTTTCAAGTTATTCCCACAAGATGGTGATCTCTGTAAAGTATTTTGTCACTAAGTTACTACCTTGCTTCATTGATGCTAATTCTTGTTGTAGCTCAAAGATCCTCACTCTGTCTCCTTGAGCAAAGCGAGTCTTTAGCAATTTCCAAGTAACAGCTGGGATCAAAACTGGTAGGCATTGGCATTGTGCCATTGACGAATTTGAATTTATTTTTGGATATGAGTGAACGTTTCATGGCTCTCGCCCAACTATGATAGTTCTTGACCAAAAGTAGAGGAGTAGTTAAAGACATGGAAGGATTTTCACCAGGATGTATGTAATACACACTCAAAGGATCAAGTGCTGGATTTTGTGGAAGCGTGACAGATGATCCTGCACCTCCTCTATGAGACCCCCACTTCCGTTTTCCTTTTCTCCCCCAACCTTCATCACTTTCACTCACTCTCCACTCTCACTCCTTCTTTTCTCTCTACCTGAAGGGGGGATTCCTTGAGGTTCATTTTCTCAACCGCAAGCTGTGTGGAGTTAGCTGGAACCGGAGACCATTTTCTCTTCTCCTCTTACGTTGTTCAAGCTCCTTCTTCTCCATTCTTTGCGATCTCGAAGCTCGGATTCTTCACCGAGGTAAGGGAAGTTAGGATTTTGTGCTGGTTGTTGTTGAGTGAGTTAGAAACTCACGGATGGGGTGATTCTTGAGGAATTGATGGCTGTGTTTGAAAGATTTTTGTTTTCGGGGTTTCGGGGTTTGATGAAAAATTTGGGATTTTTGGTGATTTATGGTTGCATGTTGGAAACGTTTTGGTTTTCATGTTGTTGGATGAAATGTGGTTATTTGGATGGTTTGCATGTGTTGGGAATTCTCTGTTTGCAGGTTATTGTTCAAAAATGGAGGAGGGACTGTGTTTCTGTCACAAACGGCTGAGCCGTTTTGAACGGCTGAGCCCTTTAGAGGTTGCGTGACAGGGGAGAGTTTCTGGAGCAAAACGGCTGAGCCATTTTAAAGTGTTGAACGCTTTTGAAACGGCTGAGCCATTTTGAAGGGCTGAGCCCTTTGGGGGCAAAGAGCGAGGAGAATCCCTGGAGGTAAAGCTTCGAGCGCTTTGGAGGCGCTGAGCGCTTTTGTGCTTTCAGAATTGGACTTTGTAGTCTTCATAAAAGTAGTATCCTTGGATGTTAGCTTTCCAATGGCGCTGGAATCACTCAAAAAGGAGTTTTAGAACTCTAGATATGGCTGTTTTAGTGAAGAGGGGTCGAGCTGCTAGCTTTGTTTATAGCTGTTGCGGTTTTTATCATTTTTAACATGGTAGATGAAGGAATTAGGACTTGGTGTCTTCATGAGAGTTGTAGGAAATCTTCTTATATTTCATATGAGATAAGGATGAGTATGGTAGGAGTAGTATAACTCCTGATGCGCTGTTTTCTGTGAAGATTGCCATTTCATATTTAGTGATTTGGTTAAGTTGAAGGTTGTTTTAGGTGCTTAGGTTGATTGGTGTTGTTTGGGTGGGTAATTTGATAAGATAGATGAGTTGTAAACAAGGTGGATGAGCCGTATTATGTGTAGAATATGCTGTATGTTGTATATGCTGTTAATGATGTAATGCTACGCTGTAATAGATATATATATATATTGTCGTGCTGAGCTGGGCTGTCATGAATGATTTTCATGTTGAATTAAAATATTGTTGTACTATAGATTGTTGAGCTGAGTTGTGAGTAGTAAGCTGTGTTGTATACTACCTAGCTGTGCTAGGATGCTGATATTGATGTGTTGCACCGAGCGCGGCCCTTGTCGCGCTGGGCGTGAGACTCCTTGGGAGTCTCTGCCTTGTGGGCGCTGGGCGCAATTGGTATTGCGCCAGGCGCGAGTGAGCCTTGGGCTCTCTGGCTGGGTCCCGCCGGGCGCGGGCATGCTTGCGCTGGGCGCGTTGGACCCCTGGTGCTCTCTGGTTGTACTGCGCTGGGCGCAACTACGAGGGCGCCGGGCGCGGAGATGAAATTTTACTATATGCTGGTTAATGTTCTTTTATGCTGAGTTGAGTTGAAATGGATGAATATGATGTGATGACTAGTAGATAATGTTGTTGATGATGTTGAACTGTATCAGATGAATATTGTTGTAAGATGTGTTGATGTGTTGTAAGACGATGTGTTGTGATGTAAAGTTGTGTTGTGTTGTATGTTGGCTGAGATGCTGTAGGCCGTAATGGCTGAGTTGTTGTAGGCCGTAATGGCTAAGTTGTTGTAGGCCGTAATGACTAAGTTGTTGTAGGCCGTAATGGCTGAGTTGTTGTAGGTCGTAATGGCTGAGTTGTTGTAGGCCGTAAGGCTGAGTTGTTGATCACTAAGACTAGAGGAGTTGTTTTCGATATTTACCTCATCCCATTGTGTGGATGTAGCGGCTGTGGTGCTCTTCGAGCCCAATTTGTTGAAAACCCTCCCTGGAAAGCTGACCCTTGGAGTGGTAACTTGCACGTGTACAAAGCGACCACGGTATAGGGGGCAGGTCGAGCTATATCGATTACAAGCGACCAATACTAACTGATATGCGTGACGACGCATTATATGCTATTTGCTGATTTTGCTGTACAACCGATGAGATGTATGCTGACGAAGTATTGATAGTTGTAGTTGCTCATATTACTTAAAATCTTGCTATATGTTGTTCTTTTTATACTAGCTTACCCTTTGTTATTTCCATGTGGTTGGACTGCGATGATCATACTATGTATGGGAGCAGAGCAGGGATAGGTAAGTGGCTAGTGGTGAGTCTGCAGCTGGCAAGTGGAGCCGACTTTAGTAGATATTTTGTTGTTTCAGCTACTTGGTGTAGTAGCTTGGTTGTATTTTTGTACATTTTGAATCTAGTCAGATTTAGACCATGTATATATGTATATTCTAGACACTATATGTATGCACTTGTTCCTTTCTGTCCGGTTTTCAGGTGTACTGTGTTGTGTGTAGTGACCAGCTGGGTCGTTACATCCTCCTCCATTGAAATTGTTATTCCCCCTAGCCATAGTAGCAAAGAATCACCAGCCGGGTCGTTACATCCTCCTCCATTGAAATTGTTATTCCCCCTAGCCATAGTAGCAAAGAATCACCAGAGCTCTGATACTATAATAGAAAATCTAATATAAATTGGAAGCATTTTATATAAAACTTGCTGAAATTAATTTGAATTTTTCATGTAGAAAGAGGTGATACAACTTCCTTTATATAGGAGAGTGAAAAATGAAAAATGTGTAATGTGCTCAATGTAAGACTAAGTTTTCTTTGATACTTTAAAAACTAACTATTTTTAACAAAATCACTCAAAAACTCATCTAAACAAGTTTTTTGAGTTTTGTGACTTTTATTCTACACTTCTACAATTTATAATTACTAGTTTATAATAAAATAAAATATATAATAATAACAACATAATTTGATAGATGTTTAATTCATTTATTGTTAGCGGATTTGTAAAGTACACATTTGTTATATAAAGGAATGTTAGTTTATATTTGAATCAATTAACATCCTTCAAACTTTTTAACCCAATATTATAATTCTTTTTAGTGAAAAAAGACACTTATAGACTATCCTATCCAAATAAGTTAAAAATTACTTCTAATAAAAATTGATTTTTTATGATTGTAACTAAATATAAATAAGTTTATGTTGTTGTGAGATTCTCTTAAAAATAAATCAGTTTTTTTAAAACTATATTTTTTAGTTACAAACTGTTGAAATAATAATTTAAATTTTTTATTTCAAATCTCTAAAATATTACCAGGATCTTAATTATAAATAATAAACTAATTTTTCTTTAGTCCTAATTATAAACAAAAATCATTAATTTTTTAAATTATTCAAGAGTAAATTTTCTATACTCTTAATTAATTACTAACTTTATTTCTTATATATTCACTTATAATTATATAAATATAATACTCACTTAAAACAAAGGGTGTCTTTGAAATAAAATTTAAACTTGTGATAAAATTAATTAAAAATAATTAACTTAATTATCTTTATTGATATAATTTGTTTATTGATATAATTTGTCGTATATTATTCATAATTAAAATAATATCTATTATCATTTAGACATAAAAATATATGCCAAGTTGGATAGGCAATAGTAAAAAATTAAAATAAAAATATGTGAAGTTAGTATTTTTTTTAGGCAAAAATATATTTTTCGTCTCTTATATTATCTATTAGTGTCAATTTAATCTCACTTTAATTAATTGAATCAATTTAGTCTCACATCTTTAAGATGTATCTCAATGTTTGACATTCTATTTTTTCTGTTTAAATACTTAACAAATCTGATACGTGTCATGCCCACGTGTCATGTTATCATGTTACGTGACATGACATCATGACACGTGACATGACACATAACATGACATGTGACATGGTAGGTGGCATGACATATAACATGACACATGACATGACACGTGACATGGTAGGTGGCATGATACATGACATGACACGTGACATGATAACATGACACGTGTTAGATATGTTAAATATTTAAACGAAAGAAATGGAAGGTTAAACATTGAGATACATTTAAAAAATGTGAAACTAAATAGATTCAATTAATTAAAATGAGACTAAATTAACACTAATAAATAATATAAAAAACGAAAAATGTATTTTTATATTTTTTTATAAGCACGAAGGTAAATCTGCATGTCAAGTTGGATCCGAAACTTCAGTCAAAATAATCTCATTTTGTATTTTGATTTTTTTTTTTCGTTGTTTGAATGTAGCCAAGTCATAAGTGGGACCAGAAATTGGCCAAGTGAGACGTGTCATTACCATTGACAATCTTCACCACCTACCTTTGTTAGTCTCTTCTTTGACCCTTCACCATGGAACCAGACGTTGAAGAAAATAATCACCGCAATTGTTAAATACATTCTATATTTTTAATACAATTCAACATAATTCACTCAACTTTAATAAAATCCTCTCACAAATTTAAAGCAGGATTTCTTTTTCTTTTTTTTCAACGCAGTCACCATGTCTATAAACTTAGAGTTTCATGCTTTCGCCGGCAATCCTCAAAGCTCCAAATTCTCATTTTCCGGTGACACCCTTTCACCTTCTGCAGCTCTCAAAACACTCAATGCGCGAATTACTCTAAACAATGCTGATTCTTCTCCTTCCCCCAGTTTCAAGGTGCTGGCTTTCAGAAACGGGAGGCCCTTGGCTTCTTCTGCCGCCGGCTCCGGCGACTCGCCGCCGATTTGGCGTCTGGGTTGGCTCGGCTTGGACGATCTCAGGGGTATTTTGGACAATTCTAGGTCTGGTGCCGAGTTGAGTGTGGACTCGTTGGTGTATCTGAGTTCGAGTGCAGAAAACGACGCCGTTTACTGGGCTATCGATGTTTCCGATGAGGCACCTGAATTGGGTTACAAAGACATGGGGTTGTGTTTCGTGGAGCTTCGAACCCTCATGGTGGCTACCGACTGGTCGGATTCGCAAGCAATGGGGAACTTGGCTATTGCTGGTCAAGTAAGTTAATTTTGTAACACCATAAATATTCAATCCAATTTAGTTTCTATTGCTTATGAATCTATAAGATACGATATTGCCATAGTTTCAATAAATGGTAAGGATAGATTCTCTTTAATATTTTCTAAACACTTTTTTTATTGACGAAAGTTCAATAAAGGTTTTATAGAAGCTTCTTGTCATCATATAATTATCAGATTTAGGTTGGTGGTGCATTTTGGAGGGTGAAGTTCGTGGTAACAATTTCATAATTTGTTTAAATTTTTAAAAAATTTGAAAATTATTTAATACTTCGTTTCATTAATTTAAATCAATGTATAAAATAATTTTCAAATTTTTTTAAAAGTTTGTAGATTTGATCAATGTGTTAAAAACTTTAAATTCAACTATTGTAATTTGATGTAAAACATAAGTTATTGAACTGAGTAAGTCTATCTTGAAATAAACTGATTGCTCCTCATAAAACAATTTTATGATTATCCGTCAATATGAATTACTGAAACAAAGTATCAAATGATTTTCAAATTTTCTAAAAATTTGCAAACTCGATCTATACACTAAAAACTTTAAATTCAACTATTGAACCATTGAAATTTGATGTAGAACACGACTTACTGAACGGTAGACTTATTTCTAGACTAAACAGATCCCTCCTTATATATATATATATATATATATATATAGAAAGAACTCTTGTGAGAAAGTAAGAACTCTTGTGAGAAATAAAAATTAAAATATTGGCTATTAAATTATATTTCAACAGTCAAGATTATCACTTCAATCTGTGACTATTACTCTGTAAAATGCGTAAGTCAAATCATACAATACTGTCAAAAAGAAAAAATCTCCGTTTGTTCGGCTGTTATCAAATTATTATAATTGTGAATTAGTGTATGGTACTGGTGGAGCAATGTTAATGCAACTTCCTAATTGTTGGGTTTGGCCTGGCCAGGCTAAGGCACTGCTAGAATGGCATAATGTTTCACGATTTTGTGGACGTTGTGGAGAGAAAACAGTCCTAATGGAAGGTGGGAGACGGAAACAATGTTCAAATGATTCATGCAAACAGAGGATATATCCACGTGTTGACCCGGTTAGTTGTCTTTTGTTCTATGTGTTGATATCATAAATGGATGATCAAGTGTTCGCTCAAGTATTTTTTGTTCACATGATCTTATGTAGGTGGTCATCATGCTCGTAATTGATAGAGAGAATGACCGTGCTCTTTTGGCTAAACGATCAATGCCTATGCCTCGATTGTATACCTGCTTATCAGGTTTCATGGAGGTGCATTTCTTGTCAATTCTAAACCTTTTCATTTTGTAGGGACTCAAAAGGTTTTCTGTTATAGCATGAAACACCCTAGTTTATTCCTGCTAGCTACCATTAACTGTGACTGAATATACTGGAAACACATTTGAATTTATGTACAATAATAGGCAATGGTCATAATATTTCATTTTTATAAAATGAAAATTTTCTGTTTGTGTTACTAAAAACCTCCCATTTACGTAGTCTGGATTTCTAGAACTTCCACTTGTTCTTTTAATTTGTAATTATTGGGATGCTGACATGGGAAAGATAATTAGTTTGTATGCTCTTGTTGCATTTAGCCGGGAGAAAGCTTGGAGGAAGCTGTGAGAAGAGAAACATGGGAAGAGACTGGTATTGAAGTGGGAGACATTGTATATCATAGTTCTCAGCCGTGGCCTGGTATAAACTATGCTACATCCTAATGTTAATTTAATTCTGTGCTTTTATAATTTAATTATTTCTCTGTTGTTTGCATGAATAACATTTGGGGTTTCCAGTTAATAACTGCCTTGTTAAGAATCTTATTGGTAATTTGTGCTATTTGAATATGTTTTTAATTACTTTTATAGTATTTATTAACTACGGGTGTACACAAATTAAGTTAAAAGAACTAGTTATATCATCTGCTATTTATTTCTTACAAACCTCTTTACGCAAGAGCCCTATACGTTTAAAGCATAGACAATGTCACATGCTCACCCACCTAATGCTAAATTCATTTTTTTTTATTAATATATATATATATATATATAAAGGGCCGAACTCTAGATCACTTGATTATAGAGGTTCTGATATCATGTCAAGAACCAACTATCTTAAAAGTCTACGCTATTAGGTAAAGACTTGTGATGGTTTAACATTAACATCTCTAACAATATAACTCATTTACAATAGAACTTGATTCAGTCAACTTTTTTTCACCACACTTTAATTGCATAGTTGCATGTGGCTAATGGAGAATGTGAAATTGTGAATGAATTCTTCTATATAAATTAATTGCTGGTAGTTCTATGGTGATTTGGATATGTACAAAACAACTTAAATCAGAGTTACATGTAGGCATCTTTCGGAAGTTAAGAATAGGTGAACATGATATAATGTAATGAGGAATTAACATAATTTTATATGTATTTTACTATTTTTCTTATCAAATTTATTATATTCCTCCCTTTATTGTTTCTTAATAAAACAATTTCTGTTGTTTTTGTTGCTAGTTGTACCAAATGGCATTCCATGCCAGCTGATGGTTGGGTTCTTTGCATATGCAAAATCCCTAGAAATAACTTTGGACAAGAAAGAGTTAGAAGGTACCTTGACCTCCCTTGTATTTCCTTGAATTTAGCCCTGATGCTCTTTTCCTTTGTTATTTCCCATTTATTTATATGCATGACTTAAAATGGTGAGTTAGTTTGTAAAAACCTATTTGTGAGATAGACTTATGTACAACATGTATGTGTTATTGGAGTGGATGAATACTCATTGTACATGTGTCAGACTTTTGTTGCTGAAACTTCAGCTGCACCATATCCATACATATGGTCAAGTATTTTCGTTTTGAGTTATGAACTTAAGTAGATATTTTTGTTATCTCCATTTCTTTTGCTTTTGCTTATTGAATATGCAACAACTGATTCTGCAACTTGCTATTCTAGATGCTCAGTGGTACAGTAGAGAAGATGTAAGAAAAACATTGACGTTTGCCAAATACAAGCAAGCCCAAAGAAATGCAGCAGCAAAAGTGGAGCAAATGTGTGAGGGACTAGGAAAGAATCCAAGCTTTGCTTCAGATCTCAACGTGGAAAGTGCTGACGAACATGCTCCAATAGTTGTTCCTGGACCCTTTGCAATAGCCCATCACCTTATTTATTCTTGGGCCTTCTCAGATCATAATGTAGTAAATGGTGTTGAATGCAATTCAAAATAACCTATCGGTTCTACAACAAATTTGAAGGGGTGGCTGAAATTCTCTTCAATGAAGCTTTGGAAATAAAATTTATGTTATCAGTGTTGTATATCTTTTTATCTCCAATAATATAGAAGGGATCTAAGCCGGTGATGGGATTTTCCCATCAAATTTGTTTTAGTGATTCTATAGTCCTGGAATTGAAGAGCTCAACTTTTGATTTTGCATTATTCGTTCATGTACAATTCATATTCTTTATTATGAATGAACTTATTAATATTTTACAAGATTATCTGCTTTCTGCTATGGTTTCACTCTGTTTCTTTGATTACCTTGCAACTGATGTTAATCTAGTGTTGGGAGTTAGTATTTAGTAATGCACTCTTCTAGTGCCTAACTTACTATGCCTAATGCAGGCCACGTGATTTCTTTGCTTGTATGGCCGGATTCCCTCATGCAAGGATAGTATCAGACATTTTTTGGAAGTTCCGTTTTGGAGAGTTGTTGAACTCCAAAATTCAAGGCTTCTTATGTTGCGGATGAAGGTGGAAGGAGAATCATGCATTGCGTTCCAACATTTTCTAGCTTTCTAGTGATTGGCAAATGTCATTATTTCAGAATGTGGTATCCTGCTATATCTAAGAGACATAGAATGGGTATCCTCCGTTACATTAAGTGATTTTATGACAAAATCAAAACTCGAATAGTTGCCAAGGAACTATCGAGAGATTTTTAGTGCATACAAACTAAGGCACGCCAAAATCTGCAACATATTCAACAAGGTACCGCAGACAAGCTACAGCTATCAAGTTATCACTGTGTTATTCTCGCAAATGATGTAATACTAATTTTCCACACCAAACTACACCGCAATTTATCTTTTTATTCTTCTATCTAACAAAGAAAGGAGCAGTGCAGAGGAGAAGTTCTATCTACATTAAGCCGTACTCTTCATTTTTTACAGAAATGCTCCAATCATTATGCCAGGCTTTTGGAAAAAAGGAATACTAAAATTTGTTGTGTACCTTTGCTGTTGTTTCTGCCCAATGTATAGTGGACCTGGCCAAAGCATCCATGGGGTCTACACATTTCCTTAGAAGAGGGTCATTGTGAGGGAGAACCCCCAGTAAATCATCAGATGCCAGAAGCACCACGTTCACTGCCCTGACCAAAAGAACATGGATTGCAATTCTCAATAAATTCCTTGCTCCTTCTACGTCCTTTCTGTACATTGCCTCCATTGCAGGACCCAATACATGTTCCTCAGTTGCTTTGTCTAGCAACACTACTTCAAATCCCTGCAGATAAATTTTTCCACAAAAAAAAAAAAAAAACCCTGAATCTATCATATCAACAAAAATACTGAAAGCAACCAATAGTATATTATTGATTATTGAACTTGCAAAGTGTATAGAATTGGATTACTAGTTAGTTGTTATAATTAACACGAGTCATCATGAATACCTGACTTTGAAGCTTCTCCTGGTAATAGCTAGCCACAAAATTTGAATCTGTAGTCAGTAGTCCAATTCTCACAGTCCCTGCAGCATGAATTGGCTTCAACTTGGCGTTCTTGAGTTCCATGGCCACACAATCACCAACATGGAGAAAGGGTAGGGAACTATCCTCAGAAATTTCACTGTGCCATGCATGTGAGAGATGGCAAGGCATGGCCAAACCCCGAGCTCCAGACTGCTGAAGAAAGTCCCTTTTGCACCGCAAATTCTCAATCACCAGCTCCTGATTCAATTTGATTCGATCAATTCTGGTCCTTGCAGAAGGGAGGGGACCACGCAATGAAAGTAATTTGCTTAACACAGGATCACTGGAAACAACAAAAGGTGGACATTCTTTACCATCTCTTGAACCCCAACAAGCAAGCTTTTCCAGGAAAATCAGAGTTGATAGAACTGATACCCCTCCTATTACACCAATAGTGTTTGGTTGGCTTAGTAGGGGACCAGAGCTTTGACATATCACAAGGGAAGTACCTGGTTCCGCATAGTTTCTACTCTCATCAGAAGATAACTGTAAAGCTGTGCTTGAATTTGTTCTCGCTCTGCACCATGTCTGAGTCCTCTTTATAAAGTTATTACCACTCAGTAATAATGAAGGGTGATTTAGTGTCTGCAAAGACATCACTATGCCCCTTTCTAGCATCTCTAATATCCCAGTTTCTCTGGAACTTTTATTTCCACTCTGAATTACAAACATCTACTCTAGATGTTCTTTCCAGTTTCCACCAGTTTTATCATCATCATCATCAGTGAAAAGTTGACAAGTGCCGATGATAGTTTTGTCACAGTCACATCACTAAAATCAAGGACCCTGTTGCTGGGGCCTTCATGGTTTCAGTGTTTGGCGAATCTTGGAGATTTTAAAGCCGTATATGCAAGAGCACAAACTGACATCGTTTTCTATGGGAGAGTCCCAAAACAGGATCTCTCACTAGAGGACAATAATTCAAATAACCACAGTGGATCTTATATATTAAAGTATAAGGTCTTATTGTTATGTAGTAATTAATTGCAAGTAAAATGCAAAACGGTAGGAAGTAACTAACAAGTAACAACACGACCCTCCAACACTGCCAGAACCTTACATAGCCCATATCAAATTTAATAAGAGTCTTTCGCGAAATCAACCTAGTTATCATCTATAGTTTGTATTTTAGTGGCTCCAGAATTGTATGCTCTTATCATCTGTATTATATTACACCCTCCGTTTTTTTTCATAGTCGTTTTGTCAAAATTTGTTGTTTTTTTTTTTCATTGTCATATTACTAAAATTAATGAGTTATTAATTTCTTTCTTCCATTTTTACTCTTAATAATTAATACATGTTTCTTGAACAATGTGTGTATTTATTTTTAATGTCTACCTAATTTTTCTCTAACTACTCACATAAAGTTAATGTGCATTTATAAGAGCAATATGTTCTCAACAAAATACTATAAAAAAAACATAAAAAAAGGGACAACTATTTAATGGAGTAGTTCAACAGTCTAAAACATGCAAAAAAAAATTGAGGGTAAAATAGGAAAGTAAGTAATAAATATTTTTGAAAACTAAAATATCAATGATTTCCTTAAGTTCCATGCAAAACCTTAAACCACTATAAAAAAAAACGGAGGGAGTAATTATTAATTTTCTCCAAGTTCCAAGGCTAGTTCACTGTAAACCGTTCAGAAGATATAATGGTCGATCCATGAAAACTACTGCAACTTGGAATCTTCGGTTACATGTGATATGTCATTATCATACTGAATTATTAGATATTATTTGTTTCTTTCTACAATTGCATGGAAAGCAATGAATGCTTGACGCCCGTGGTTGGTGTCCAGTGTTTGATGAAATCTGAGGCGTATCAAGTTCATGTGCCAAGCCAATCCTTCCAGTGTTTGTTCCGTGTGCACTAGCCTATGAATTTGGTTGTTTTCAACTAAAAGGGAAGAATTATTTGTCTTATGTTCAATGGTTGTCCCAGCACCCCATTGCTACTCATTAGCTTACTATATATTGAGAGAGAAATATTTAAACATCTATATAAATCTTATTAATTATTATACCATTTAATATTTTTTTTATTAAATATATATTTTTCAAAATTATAATTTAATAGTTAGATTAAAATATTCATATTTAATTAAAATTTATTCAACGATGTCTAGTTATTTGATTAAAATATTTTAGTTATATAAATAGGTGTTTCAAAGGTATATATGTCTAAACGAATGAGGGTCCAAAAAGTTGGAACCTTTTTACCAACTTACAGTTGGTTTCGGTACCTGGACTTGGTAATTGCATGGAGGCGAAAGAGGAGCGAGGGGGATGAGGTTATTGTGTAGAAGTGTGAGGAACATGGGATATGAACTTGTTTGGTGCGAGTGAAAAGGGAGTAGTGAATATATTTGTGCATCCCACACCTTTTTTGGTTCCCTCTCACACGAGAGGTTTTTCATACTTCTTTTCTCTTTTTACTTATTTCCTCTATATCTTTTCACTTTTTTTTTCCTCACATTCAAGCATAGTATTAATGTCAAAGGATTCTATCTATATATATATTCACACGTATGAAATTTGTTGACATATATTAAGTTTCACGTGATTGAATTTAAGAAAATTATTACAATTATAAATTGTTAACGCTCAACTAAAAAATATATGCATATTAGTAAACTCATCAAATATTAGCTAATTTCATTCACTTACTTTTAACTTTTTATTTGGAGTAAATTAGTTATTATACCATTAATTATTAAATTAAGTGATATTATATTTATGATTATATAAATATTTATTATATAATATATCTAAAAAGTCTATATCACTAAAATTTGATATATATGATCATAAATATAATATCATATAATTTAATATTTGAATAGATTAAACTTATATTATATAAAAAATTATTAAAAATATAAAATTTAGTATAAATTTTTAAATTTACATCTTATGTCAACAAATCTCATCCCATATATAATATCTTAATTTAAGACATTTATTTTAATTTAAAATTTAAGATTCAACATCTTCTTTCACATTTTAATTTAATTTAATCTATAAATAATATTAAGTAAGAAATGAAAGAATTTAAATTAAATTCACTAAATTAATATTGACTGTTATATTGCATATTATAGATCTTATATGATCATTAATTAAAAAAAATCAAGTAAGAATCGAAATGAAATGCTCAAACTAAAATATTAAATTCTATAATAATTATAACTAAACATTCCATTTTTTTTATAATTATTAAAGTAAAATTAATAGTTGATATCGTATATTTAATTATGATGATATTATACTAAGAGGTCAAGTTCTAAAAAATTTAAAAGGAATAAGTTTGACTTGAAGGAAGAAGGCTCAATTTCTTATTGAATTTTAAGTCACTTTTAGTAACTTATTTCCTCTTCTTTAAAAATATTTTCTTAATTTTGACCTTGTATTTTTTGATAAATAGTGTAGGAATTTATTTTCTCGTAATTTCTATTTTTAGGGTGTAATTTAGCATTTGGTGAAAGGTGTAACTAAAAAAAGGTTATTTAGCTTGAATGATCTATTTAGAGCATCTCTTGAATGCCTAACTTTTGAATTTGACCTCCACTTGTGTGAAAATCAAGTGGTGGATGTCCACTCGTGAAGAAACCAAATAGTTAGATGTCAACATCAAATAGAGAGCAAGATATCTCATGATATTCAAGACTCCAACAACTTATATAGTCTTATCTAGTCACATTTTTAACATTTTACCATGTGACAAACATTCATTGATTCTTTTAGTTTTAGAATAATAATATTTTTAGGAAGAAAATTCAAATTTTAAAATATAAGTAGAGTTGAATAGTTTGAGGAGGAGATAATTTATCCAGGTTACATAGTTATTTTTAATTTTATTGTTAAAATGCTTCAAACAAAGTTGATGTTGGGAAATTAATCAGATTGTACTACACGAAGTCCCTTTAGCTTCATTTTTTCTATCAAAGATCAACATCTATCTATTGGCATGTGATTTCACTTTGGGGTGTCAAAGAGAAATTAACTCACATAAGATTTGCCGTGCCAACTGATTTGAGCTTGTACACTTGATTATTGTTATGAATAATCAGAATTGTATTAGAAGCTTCTAGGAACAAGGATGAAGGATCTACCACTCTCCTTTACGAAAGGAACGTGTACAAAGATAGTCAAGGGTGAAAAGATATCCAAGTGATCATGGCCCAAATACTGTCCAATGGGTCATTATATCCCAGCAAATCAGCTTATAAAACTATGTTTATACAATAATAGACAAGGCAATAATTATGAACCAAACTCATCAATCTCACACCGCTGGTCCTGGAGTTGAACCCCATGCTTAGACCAATTTCAAATTTCAATGCAGTTTTGCTTGATTTTTAAAATTAAGTAACTTAAATTAAGTCATCCCTCTTAACTTATTTATAAACAAAAACAATTAATTTCTCACATATTAAAAAAAGTACATTAATATATTTAATGTTCACAGCTTTACAAAAAATATATATACATTATCTAAAATATTCTTAACTACATTAATGATAAAAGTGCTTTCATTTATTATTATAAGAATATTTTTGAATTAAGAATATTAAATTTGAAATTTATTTATATTTTAGTATAAAAATATAGTATTATATATATATATATATATATATATATATATATATAAATACATAGGGAGTATGTTATTGGAAGAAATGAGTAATATATATCGTATAAAATTATTTATGAGTAATTACAATTGGTTAACCGTTAAAAATAATTATTCAAGTTAAAAGGAGATTTTTTGCGAGTCACAAAACGAGTAACACTAAAAAAAACTAAGAATTCAAGTTGAGTTTAAATCCTCTTTTTTATTTTTATTTTTTTTTTAATAACGGAGCATAAATATTAAGGTTTGTTTCCTATAGTTTTTCTTCTCACTTAAGTTATTGTCTTTATAATTTTTTATTTAAATATATATTTATTTATTTATCTACCTTATATGTTAATACTTTGATTAGTAAAATTATTTATCTACCTTATATGTCAAATAAGTTATAAGTCTCTAAGGCTCTTGGTATCAGAGCTTAACCTTATTTCTCAACTGAGGGCATAATATTATCATAGAGGAAAGAGTAAGCTTTACTACCATCGAAAATCCTGTCTCAGAAACTCAACCCGCCTTTCTAAATACCTCCTTATCTTTACCCAACCATGTCTCTAGAACCTTAGCCCTAAAGATTGAAAATCTGGTTGAATTTTCTTATATCCTTGAGGATGCTCAGATTTCTGAGAGCACCGCCCCCCTCTTAAGTCCATATAATATCTTCAAACGCCAAAGATCTACTCTTAGATCTATTAGGCAGTTGGTCAGAACCACTCGTCCACATGAAAAGGAATACGTCCAATCTTCTAAGATGGAACAATGTTCTTTAATGGCCACCTCTGAAGAACAATACGTTACTATTGAGATTCCTAGAGAACTCATCCGACACTGGAGAACTGATGGCTACACCCATCTTCACTATGGGGCCATCAGGCTGATGCTCACCCTTCACGGGAGAAGAGGACTTTCTGTCTCTTCAAGGATCTCCTTGTTAGACACCAGCTATCTTCACTATGAGAATGTCGTGATAGGTATTGTCCTGACTACACTTCATGCTGGAAGTGTCGTCCTAACATTGTTCCCCAATTACAATGTTAGTTTAAGAGACCCCACTGTACCATAAAGACTGAAAGTCCAAGTCCAGATAACCGGAGCTGCCCAGACCTCTGATGCTGTTTGTGCTACTCTCCACTATCAAATCATATATAGGCTATAGACTCATGCAGTCAACCTGACCTTACCCAGCAGCAATGATAGTGCCTTGTTTGTTCTTGCAAACCAGGCAGAAGAAAGCCCTTCGATCGTACAAGTTCCTAGAAATATTT